GCCGTGTGCTCTGGCTCCTTGTCTGCAACAAGTGTCTGTGAGGGTGCCTGTCCCTTTAAGGAATGGCTGCAGCCAGGAACCACAGACGTGCAACCCATGGCCCAGATTGTCCACTAGGGCTTCTTCCTGGAGGCCAATTCTTTCGAAAGAAAGGGCTCCCCCTGTCCAGACTCACGTTCTTTCGATGGATCTCCCTCGAAAAAGGCGTTCTTCCTCGTAAAATTAGGTGTACAGCCATCGAAAGAAAAGCCGCGTTCTTTCGATTTACTTTCGAAAGAACGCGGCTTGAGTCTGGACGCAGGGGAAGTTCTTTCGAAAAAAGGCTACTTTTTTCGAAAGAACCCCTGAGTCTGGACACAGCCGTGGGGTGGGTTCTGCTGTGGCCTAAGGGATGGGGCAACCACCTGGGGAGTGCAGGGTGGTGGAGTCAAGCCCTGCACCTCCCCCACCCCCCCCCAGCACTAGTTGCCCCTGGGATATAAAAAAAATATTTATTTTGGTAGTTTCTAAAATGCCACACAACTACTCAATGTTTTTTAAAGTTACAGACTAACACGGCTACCCCTCTGAGTCATTTTTGCAATAAAGAAGGAAAGCTGCCTTTATTCTTATATGTAGTGGTCCTAGTTGTCACATCACTTGTGTCATTTTGCCATTTTTTTTTTAGCATAGAGCAAAGATAAAAAAATATCTGAAATATTGATTTGTTCCATGAAAGGATCGTATTTGGTTACCAGGAGTCTCCCTGTGACCTATAGCACTTGAACATTCTTGACCTGATCCAGCATGAAAGCACATTCTTAACTTTCAAGAACTTAAATAGCTTAATTGACATCCATAGAGAGAATGATTTCTTGGTTTGGGGCCAGAGTGCTCAGCACCTGACAGAACTGAACTCAAAAGGAAGAAAAAAACATCTCCAGGTCAGTGATATAACCTTAGAAATACCTTCCTAACTGAGCTAACTATTCTCTAACCAAACAAGCACAGTGTGGAATCTGCGAGGGCTTCTGCTGAGTGGAGTTGGTAATAAAATTGTATTTTTCATGTAAGCATTTTGAAAGAAATTAAAAATTAAAAAAATATTAAATTTCCTACTTTTTTCCCCAAAAAGTGATTGGGGGGGGGACCAGAATTTCAAAAGAAATATTTTTTTCCTGAAAAGTTACTTTGAAAAAAGACAGTTTTCACTGAAAATGGTTTTTGAACAAGGAAAAATATTCCTGAGGGTCAAAAAGAGGTAGAATGTGGTAGGAAAGGATACGAGAGCCTTAAAATTTCTCTGGAGATATTTAAGAGTAGATTAGATAAATGTCTGTCAGGGATGGTCTAGTCAGTACTTGGTCCTGCCATGAGGGCAGGGGACTGGACTCGATGACTTCTCGAGGTCCCTTCTAATCCTAGTATTCTATGATTCTATGAAAATGTAGGTTAAATTACCTTGGATAAAATGCTCAGAATTGGAAGATTTATCTGACCACCTGAACATTTTGTGATTTGGCCATTAATAGCATGTTCTTGCAGCTTATTTGATATTTTATTAGCTACTACCCAATTCCTTAGTTCAAATATTTTTAGTGACTTGCAGTTTTATAGATTTAGTATAAGTTCTCTGGCATTAAAACCAAAAGAATTAGATGAACACCACTTCTTTACATCTTAGATTGCTATGCTAATGAATCTTTATCACCTAGCTAGTTACAAACTAAATGGACCTTACTTTGGGTGATGTAAAATGAAGGAACAGTTCTTTTCTCACCCAATATTTAAGAGATCCCATATACTCTGAAAATAATTACATATTTAGAGACTCAGCTGGTGCAAATCAACATAGTTCCACTTGAAATCAATGGAGTGAAGCCATTATGGCCTTAATGTTCCAAATTCATCGACTATTTCAAGGTTAGGATTGCCATCTAAGATTACATACTTGGGCCAGTTTCTCAACAACAGATGTTCCAACTGTGAGAGCCTGTGGTACACATTTATCCTCCTCCTTTTCAAAAAACGGTAAGAAAAAAAATTGTCCATACATAGAGTAGCCATGGGACTGTAACCTTTATTCTGGCAGTACTTTTCAACATTTCCTCCATGCTGAGTTGACTGTAATAGGTCTTTTTTAGCACTCACATGTTTGTTTCAAACTCCTGCAGTTCACAAAATTAATTTCTGTTGGAATCAAAATGTCATGATGAGGCTGGTTATTTTGACTGGGCTTTTACCTTATCCTCTATACAAAGCAACTGATTTACTTTCTATTAATTATGCATCAGCTATAGGGACCTCCTGGCGTGGTCTCTTCAAAGCATTCTGCCATTAAAGCTTGTTCTCGGGTTTAGTGTATTGAAAGAGGTGTGCGTATGTGTGTGTCTTACCACCACGCTTAAAGTACTTTTCAATTGTAGAATGCAAGGGAATGATTATTTTGTACTATGCATTACACTCCATTTATGTTCAAAACAACAATACCTATTGCAAACACTTTACAAGTTTTTATTCCTCATGAATATAAGCAGAGGAAGTTCAACCAAATTATTCTCCTTTTATCTAATTATGAAAACTCATGCAAAATTAATCTCCTGTTCCTTCCTGCATATCACAATGAAATGCTAACATTGCTTTATTAGGAGAACGATCTAATGCACTAGCTAACTGAAGCTTGAAATATTAATAAAAATGACATTCTTATGTGGTTTGTCTGGAAAAATATATGATTGTTCAATGCACCGTGAATTAAGGACTCATATTAAAGTAGTTATCACATTTGCTTTGATCCCTTTAAAAGTACTGGCCAATAAAATTGTCTTTATTTTGCTATTTTTTGTCCTGTTAGAGAGGTATAGATGGGGATTACACAAAAAGATCAGTGGAACCCAGCTGATCTCATTGATATACAGCTGTTTTTCTTATTTGCAAGAGTCAAGGTACAGTAGATTTCTGCAAGTATGAAGAATTACACGGATGTATAACTTGGTGTTAAGGTGTAGGACCCTAGAACAGGATGTCAACCTGCTGGATGCTGAAGGGAGTTGTGGAGACCAAGTATATCTCATTAGCACTATTCAATAGCATAAAAGGTTGAGAGTGTCTCTGAATCTAGAGAGAGGTAGAGGAAAGGTGCTGGATGTTTCGTAGGGAGAAATGTTAATCGGCCTTGTAAAATAGGAGTTTGGAAACTAAGCTTTGTGTGAGTACATTCTCTCCTTATGGTCTTTTACTTTACTTCGTTTCATAAGATCACTTTTTTGTCTAAACCCTATTACATTTCTATATTTAATCAAAAGGTTCTTTCAGAGTATTCTATAGACAAGTCTGATGTGGTAAATAACATTGTACTGAGGAAATATTGTGTCTGCCGGTGCTGTTCATTATATGAAGCTATTTCTATACTCTTTACAGCACATCAATAAGTGTGGATATGTGTGACTTTATTGACACTTTAATTGCTTGGAATAGGATTATCCTTTGTAGTATTTGGGAGCGGTTTTAATCTCTCTTATTCTACTTTTGCCTTACAATATTTCTCTTACATAGGTAACGTAGATATAATATAGAATTCAGAATCAGCAAACAATATTTATGATGGAAGGACAATTTGCTATTGATAAAATTAACATAATAGATCAAAATGTTTCCACTAGTACTGCAAGCTGCTATGGTGTATGAGCTGCATCTTCATGTGATAACAGTTCTAGTTCAATAAATAAGGGTAAAGTTCATCAGCTTGGGAGGCAGAACTTGCTCAAGGGCTGATCTGAAGCTGTGTAATTAACTGCCACAGGAACTAAGGACTTCACAAAGCTCACCACTTCTGCTTCAAGTGCAAAGCTCACTTCTTCAACCTTACTTTCTCTGATATCTTACTATAGATTTTAGAAATGTGCATCTGTTTGTCCATCTATGAGTCTATTTGTTCAAGAAATCCTCCTAAATGGTAAGAGCTAAGACCTCCACATTTGGTATACAGCTTCCTCTTATCAGAACTTAAAGCAAGATCAGGGTTTGGTTGTGCCAGGACAATGGGATGTGCCTGGAATTCCACTGATTCTCATAAAATTCAAAGGCAGGAGTCTGGTAGGAGGGAGCTATACTGCAGAATGACCCCAGGGACAGCAAAGGGCCAGAGATGGGGACTGGGACAGCTACAACTCCATTGGGTTAGCAGGGGATGGGGTGGAGAAAGGGACAACTATTTGCTATATGCTTCAGGGAGTTGATCTGTTTGTGTGTCTGCCCCTCAGCTAGGAACATGCACCCCTCCCCAGGCTATGCCTGCTGTAGCGACCACGTAGAGGTGCTTATCACCTGAGCCTACGC